CTGCAGGCGGGCTAACTTTGAATGGTTACCCCCTCCATCTCCTCACCCTCCTCCTTCCCCTCCCCCACACTGCTGCAGGAGCAGCAGAGAGGGGGGGAAGAGAGGAGAGGTGGAGGGACGGCTGCTGGTTGCCTCACACCCGCCACCCCGGTGCCACTCCCCCTGCTCCCCCACACCCTCACATCCTCCCCCCTAACGGTAGCTGCAGCAGTGGGTACGAAAGGAGGAGGAGGGGAAGGGAAGAAGACGACCCAACACTCCAACACCCGCCACCCCCATACCCTCCTCCCCACGGCTGCAGGGAGACAAAGGAGGAGGGGGTGGGCGGGAAGAAAGCCGCAGAGCGGCGAAACTGTGTCGGCGCTGATAGGTCAGGGGCGGCTGCAGGGAGAGCAGGGGCGGAGAGGCCCGTCGCGTGCCACGGGGCGCACGACGGGTAAGTTTAAGTGAAAGGGCCCGATCGTGTGCCTCGGGGCGCACGACGAGCAGGGCACCGTCGCGTGCCACGGGGCGCACGACGGACAGGTTTAGGGCACCGTCGCGTGCCACGGGGCGCGCGACGGGCAGAGAAGGAGTCACACGCCAACCGGGGGCGGGACAAGGGAAAATCGCCACGCGCCCTAGGCGCGCGACCGGAAAATCGTAGCAGCGGAAACGTGAGGCGGGCGCACAGGCCAGAACGAACGTCGCTCTGATAACATGTCGAATAATTGAACGAGAATGAGTTAAGTTAAAACTAGGGCCTAGGCTTAGGAGCCTAGGCCCGAGATTAGGTGTCGAGTGGTTCTTGCCTAGGGTGAGGTTCGAGTGAGTTGGAAGAGGAGTTGGGAGAAAATGAGTTCACTATAGGTTTCAAGGAACATATAGCATAGGAACAAATGAAGAGGTGCACCACCTACAAATTTAATAACTACACTACAGCTAGAACTACATGCAGTTATAAAAACATAATTCTGACAGCTTCTTGGGCTGACGACCAGGCTACGCAGCGGTCGTCACAGGGTTACACCTTCAGCCTTGGTTCCGGCTCTGTTTCGTGGCGGTCTACCCGCTCGTCTTCTGTTCTCGGCTCCAGCTGTGAGGCTGAGATCTACGCGGGGGCCATGGCTGCACAGGAGCTACGCTGGCTCACCTACCTGCTGACTGGTCTAGGAGAGCCGCCTCGTTCTCCTCCAGTTCTGTACGTAGACAACAAGGACATGCTGGCCTTGTGTCGGGAGCACAGACTGGAGCACAGAACGAAGCACATTGCTCTTCGCTACTTCCTTGCTCGTGAGCTGCAGCAGCGTGGTCAGCTGCGCCTTGCTTACGTGGCCTCTGAGGCCAACACTGCCGATATCTTTACCAAGGCACTTCCGCCTTGTGATCATCAGCGCTTCTGTACGATGCTAGGTCTTGTGCCTACTTGGCCTCACTTGCTCACTTCTTGACCTTGCTTGTACTGTGATCTTTCTATACCTGCACTTGCTTGTTTACACCTGCTTCGACCACGGGGTCCACCATGGCGACTAAGACGGCTGTCGGCCTAACAACAACTTTGGTAATGAACACAGAAGTCGGCTTATCTAACACGGGGCCATCGACGCTCACCGCACCATGCGGAGAGTCACTACACAACGGGAGTGGACTACAGTGGAGGGCACGGAGTTGTGCGAGTGATCGTAGCGTTGTACTAACGTTCTTACTGCTTGCTGTGTTCACAGAGAAGTTTTGCAAGAGTTTCCACCAAGGAAGTTGAAAGAACAACTTGCAATGAAAAGTTGATAGTACAATTGAGGCATGCAGAACAAAAGGAACTAGAATGGCATGCAACACCTAGCAAGGTGGACATCTGCCAGCGCAGCAGAAGAGCGGCTTGCCAACGCTGCAGCAGAGTAATCTGCCAGCGTTGCACCGCGCACGTTCTGCCAGCACTGCAGTCGCAGGTAACTTTCTACAGTCGCAGGTTGTCTATCTGCGCAGATGTGCGCACCTACCAAGTAGGTGCAGGTTGGCGGTTTCACCGCCAGGCACATTGCGCAGGTGCCAGGTAGAAAACGTGTCGTCGGTTTTGCCAGGTGCGCACCGTTGACCACGTGATGCCGTTCCGCAAATAGTACTTCGTCAAAATCTCCTGGGCGAAAGTTCGCACGCCTCCGCGGAGTTTCGCAGAACTCTGCAACTTCGATCGATGAGTTTGGCATCGATCGGCCGAACAACGTTCGTCGAACAGAGCTCCTCGACCCGAACGCTTCGATCAGAGTTCCTCGACCAGGGTCGTCGACCAGCGCTCTTCGACGAGAGCTCATCCCGCAGAGATCGTCGACCAGAGCTCGTCGCGCAGAGCTCGTCGACCAGATTCTGTCGAGCAGAGCCTGCTCGATCGAAACTTCCGTCAAACTGCAGAAGCCCGCTTCTTCTACCAAACCGTCAAAAACTTCCCGTCGACGGCGAGATCGGTTGCGCCCAAGCGAGGGCGGGGCCTTTCTCTTCGACAGAGGACTCGGGCACTTGAGACACCTCCTTAGATTTTCGTGTCACGCTCAGGACGTGTCTCAAGTGTGCGATTCCATACGGTTCCGACGCAGACCCGACGGATTGGCTCGGGAACCAGCTCGTGAACCAGAAGTGGACGTGTCCAGGATGCGGGGTTTTTTTTTTAGCCACGCCTGATACGCAAATAGTAATTGCTAAAATATTAATTTGCGATTTCTCTAGCCACTCGTGACTTTCGCGCAAGATTATTTGTAGAATTCTGAACGGGCACTTTTAGAGCGTAACTCAATTTAACCGGATATACGTCCAAGAAACAGAGATACTATTCAGTGTGTTCACGCGGTTCAGTGCATATCTTCTCGCTCTCACACCAAAGTTGGTGGGTAAAAAGACAACTTTGCCAGCAGTATTTGACGTGGAGAATCACTGCAGAGAATCGGCATTCATGAGGTCACTGTACAGCTTTTGTCCGTCCAGCACAAACGCATCCGAACCAAATTCCGGATCAAATCGGTGCTCTGCACTTGGTCTGGGCTCAAACCTTATGAAGCAGAGCTGGTCGAGAACAAGCCCTGAAATATCCGGGAAGGGAGTCCTGCCTTAGGATTCAGACCATTTTTTTAACATCCTGCTCCGAACATAAGTTCGTAAATACTGTTTTCGAGCTTAAAACAGAGTAGGGTCAGGGGTTGGGGGGGGGGGGGGGTGTTGTTGGGAGGGGACGGGAGAGGGCCACGTTCGCGGTCTAAGAGTGGGACGGGGGTATGGGGCCAGGTAGCAGGAATTACGGGGAAGGCCCCAGCCTGTCCGCTAAGAATACGGGTCAGGGCCGAACGGACCCTGAAAATCTACGAGCTGAGCTGAATCTAGCCCTGAATTCTTAAAGAAAACTGACAAATGTCCGTGAAGAAACAGGCCCCAACACATGACGGATACGTCCCTAGGATGGATGCTGCTCCTCTTCAACTACGGTTCCCAAACCACACGCCAGCAATCTTAGCAAAGTTACGAGTAGCAAAAGAAGTGCGCAGATTTATCAGTGAGTCGCATTGGAGCGTGTTACGTAATTTGGTGGCAGGCCCCGGTTGCCTCAAGAAGTCGACCCAGCCTGACTGGTCGGGTCGACCGGGCTGTAAATCTGGCAGGTTGGTACCAAGCAGGCAACCTGCAAATGTACCACCCGCCTGTTTTTGGTACCCAACCATGAAAATAGTATTTCGGGTAGACCCAACAGTCACTGCGTCAATATTTACTGGCTAACCTTCGATGGAAAAATTTCTTTCACCACTCACATCGAGTCTTGTTAGTGCAACCTGCCCGCAATGATTTCGTTAACACCCGGTTGTGCACCACGTTGGTACGTTGCGGATTGGCTGCCTCGACCTGGCTGTATGTGGTCGCGACCAACCGGTTAGTTGACTGCCTGGTCGCCTCGACCAAGTGTGTGAGGGCCTTGGTACAAACGTCCTCACTCTACACTGCACACTCTCGGGTTTCTGGTAACCCTACGTTCAACCCAACCCGACCGTTCAAGGCAACCGCGACCAACCCCCAATAAGGGGTACGAAACACCGGCTACTATGTAGCCGCTGGCGCTCCTGGGTTACAAGGCATCAATCATTGCTGTTAAGAACGACTCCAGAAAAAAAATACTCAGAGAGGTCTAGCAAGAGAATCCCGTCAAGCTTGCAAACCCTGGAGTTTTGGCATCCGCGGTCATGGCAGCTGTGACCACTGGTAGACATCCCTTCAACGGACTCAATTAATTTCACTTTGGATGTTATGATTTTTTTCTCCTGATTTCTTTCTTCAAAGAAGAAACTTTCTAGGAATCACCCTGCCTGTAACCCCAGTGGGGTAACCGCGAGAAAACCTTTGGGCCAGAAATTTGCGGAGGGTTTTTTTTTTTGGGGAAGACTCGGGCTTGATGTCGTGCCACCAGTCGTTGACAAGCTAGTAACTTTAGAGGCGCTACTAGCTCTCTCGCTGATAAAACTGAATGTGGTCGCTCACAAAAAGCATTCGTTCCTTGAGGCGTGATACCTCCTTAGAGACGTCTCTCGAGTGCATTGGAAGCATATATGTCCAGCCTCAATATGCTCAGGGCTGTCCTGCTTTGGAGGGAGTGAAGCGCTACTATGGAAATATGACAACCAGCAAGGCTTGATATGGAGTTTTGAGGCGGAGCATGGACGGTTGAGATGCATTGGAGATCAACTGGTCCATGACAGCAGCCTGCAGACACCACCAAAAGGTCACTGCCGGAAGGTCAGAGGCTCAAGGGATCAGTATTAGGAGGATCCGAATAGGGTGAACCCAGAAGACCTGGTGATTTCAGCAGATAAGATAAACTCTTGACGAAACTCAATCCCGTGAAGAAGAGGAGCAGGTCAACTAGCAAAGGTCTGATGGAAGATCGAGGATTAATGAAGCAAGGAATTGAGACTCAACCCGGGGAACTTCCACAAGAGGATGGCGTGGCGATGATGTTAGACACTCCATTGGTTGACCCTGCATCGCTTGATATGACATTAATTGACACTGCATTGCTTGACCCTTCGATGGTTGACCCTGCATTGCTAGATCCAGCCTTCGTGTCTTTGGATCAAACATTGCTGACTCAAGGCATGCTGGACCAAGGCATGCTGGATCAGTTACTGCTGAACCTGGCATTGGTGGATCAAGCACTGCTGGACCAGGGCACGCAGGGCCAAGCATTGCTGGATCAAGCAATTCTGAATCAAGCCTTGGCGGATCAAGGCATGCTGGACCAAGGCATGCTGGATCGGGACATGCGTTTGAGCTGTGCCATGGATCCGTCATGGATCAACATCCATCAGATTCTCACGCGATCGTACAATGCTGATGGAGTTGCTGCCGCCGCTGCCACCTCTGCTGTTGCTGCTCCTCCTCCTGCTTCGTCTGCTGCTGCTGCTGCTGCTGCTGCTGCTGCTGCTGCTGCTGCTGCTGCTGCTGCTGCTGCTGCTGGTCCTCCCCTTTCCTCCCCTTTCCTCCCCTTTCCTCCCACTGCTTTCGAATTGCAACCAGGAAGGCCAGCAGTAGCAGATGCAGTATCACCAACAGCAGCAGCAGCAGCAGCAGCAGCAGCAGCAGCAGCAGCAGCAGCAGCAGCAGCAGCAGCAGCAGCAGCAGCAGCAGCAGCAGCAGCAGCAGCAGCAGCAGCAGCAGCAGCAGCAGCAGCAGCAGCAGCAGCAGCAGCAGCAGCAGCAGCAGCAGCAGCAGCAGCAGCAGCAGCAACAGAAGGAGCAACAGCAGCAGAAACGGAAGGAGCAGCACCAGCACGCGTGTCAGAGCAAGGAAGGCAGCAAGTCGCGGAAGCAGCTTGCACACCAGCAATCGTTGCCAGCAGCCATACCAGCTGCTGTAACCACCCCAGAAGCACCATCAGTCCCAGAAGCACCGTGAAGTCAACAAGTATGAGCCATCGCAGTAGCACCAGCAATCTCAAAAGCCCTCTTAAACTTAGCAGCACTACCGGTCCTTCTCTCGCCCTACCTTACACACATGCAGCCCAGACCCTTATTATTCCAGTTGCCATATCCCCTGTTTCAGTTACCCTCTCCCCTGATACTGCTGCCATACCTCCTGATTCGACTGCCACCTCTCCCATTGACGGAAATCCACTGTCTGGAGAGGTTGCGGCAGTGCATGATGGGTCGGAAGGGGCAACGGCAAGGGCCATGCTTGCCATGCAGCTGGTCGGAGCATCAACAGTATCAGAGGCTGCAGTTCACGCTGCGGCGGCTGCTGGAGAATTCGCCGCAGTGCGTGGTGGGTCAGAAGGGGCAGTGACAGGTGCAATGCTTGCCGTGCAGCTGGTCGGAGCAGCAACAGGATCAGAGGCTGCAGACCACACTGTGGCAGCTATCGGAGAGGGTGTGGCGGTAGGGCATGTGATAGCGAATATGGATGCAGCGAACGTGACTAAAGGAGATATGTCAACAGAGAATGTGACAGTGGGAGATATGGCAGCAGAGAATGTGACAGTTGGAGAAATGGCAGCAGACAGTGTGGCAGTAGGATATATGGCAGCAGCGAGTGTGTCAGAAGGTGGTTTTAGGGCACCTACAGTCTCCCCTGTGAAGATGAGGAGGAAGCAGCAGAGGCATCACCCATACGAGGAGAAATTATTTCATGCTACTGTGGCTGTTGCTTCTGCTGCGGATGCTGCTACTGCTACTGCTTCCGGTTTTGCTAGGCTTTCCCCCTTTGCCCCCCGTTCTGATCCTTCTGCTTCTCCTGGTTCTTCTTCATCTTCTGCTTCTGCACCTTCTATCTCCTCCCTTACTGCTTCTAAATCTGGCTCTGTCACTGCTGCATCAGGGCACAGTCCCACTGTCAGTACCCCTGCTGCTGCTTTCACAGCCACAGCTGCTGCTGCCGCCACCGCTGCTGCTGCTTCTGCTGCCACCACTTTTGAGTTTCCAGGAACAGCAGTGGGCACACCACTGCCTTTAATAGCAAAGAAGAGAAGTGCTGTGGCAATGTCACGGCACCAGAAACAGCAGCAGGAGCTGGAGCCGCCGCCGCTGCAGCAGAAGCAGGAAGAGGAGGGAGAGCAGCAGCAGCAGCAGCAGGTGCGTCAAGCAGCAATTTCAGCACCATCAGAGGCACCGAGATCCTCTTCTATGTCCTGGATGATGCTGGAGCTGGGGAGGAGTTTGACGCGGTGCGAAGAGGTACTGCTGTATGCGTGCCGGTTCTGCGGCAAGAGATTCGCCCAGCCGCAGGGGCTGGGATGCCACATGAATGCCCACCGGCGAGGTGAGAAGAACAGGCGAGGTGAGAAGAAGAGGCGAGGTGAGAAGAAGAGGCGAAATGTGAAGAACAGGCAAGGTGAGAAGAAGAGGCGAGGTCAGAAGAAGAGGCGAAATGAGAAGAACAGGCGAGGTGAGAAGAACAGGCGAGGTGAGAAGAACAGGAGAGGTGAGAAGAAGAGGCGAGGTGAGAAGAAGAGGCGAGGTGAGAAGAACAGGTGAGGTGAGAAGAACAGGCGAGATGAACGACTGTTCATGGAAGAAGGTGGCTTTCGAGAGTTTTTGAGACACGTGAAAGGAAGTGGATCCACCTGTAGAAGCAAGTGCATACATACATTCCTTCTATGTGCCGCTCCCTTGTGTAGGGGTATGCATCCCTCTCATATGTGCGAGGTATTCCAATCTGTTGCTGTGCAATGTAACACCTCTCCACATCTCCCTTGCGCACGCACTCTCTCCTTATGTCCCCTCACATGGTCCGCAGACCGCGAGGCAGAGAACGATCACCAGGAAACCATGCCTTCACATCCTCCAGTCGCAAAGGCGGATACTTTCGGAATTCTCTCACTGCCTGCAGCCCAGTCGGTGCATGTAGCACAGTCAGCACAATCGCTGACTGCTGGCGGTGCTGCTCGTGCTGCAGCTGGTCTTGCTGCCCCTGCTGATTCTCGTGGTGGTTCTGGCGGTTGTTCTGCAAAGGATTTTTCCAGTCTCACGGCTGCTGCCTCCTCTGGTGCTGCTGGCGATGCTCGTGCTGCTGCTGGTGGCGCTGGCGGTGCTGGTGGCGCTGGCAATGCTGGTGGCGCTGGCGGTGCTGGTGGCGCTGGCAATGCTGGTGGCGCTGGCGGTGCTGGTGGCGCTGGCAATGCTGGTGGCGCTGGCAATGCTGGTGGCGCTGGCAATGCTGGTGGCGCTGGCAATGCTGGTGGCGCTGGCGGTGCTGGTGGCGCTGGCGGTGCTGGTGGCCCTGGTGGTGCGGGTGCTTCACGTATGTACCCCAAGTACAGTTTCAGCCATGATGCGATGGCTTTTTATAGCCTCACAGGAGCTGCATCCGCTGCTGCGGCTGGTGCTGGTGTGAGCGGTGCTGTTCGTGCTGCTGGTGGTTATCCTGCCCCTGCTGCCTCAAGTGGTGGCTTTGCTGCTTTGCTACCCAGCACTGCTCCTGACACAGCTTCGCCCCTCAGCCTACCAGCTCACTTTCCCTTCAGGTGGTCTGGCAAAACAGGTTCATACCCAGGAGCAGACGTATCAGGAAGGACAGGCAGAGTGGAGACTGCTTCTGCTGATGCTGTTGCCTCCTATTTGGCTGCTGCTGCTGCTGCTGCTGCTGCTGAATCTAGTGCTATTGATGAAACTGCTGCTGGCCCGGGTGGTGATGTTCAGACCTCTCATGCCAGAGTAGGATCGGCAATGGAAGCTGGATTGGTAGCAGCCGGCTCTGGTTTGGCAACCGGTCCTGCATTAGCTGTCCGTTCTAGGCTCAATGCTGGTGCTGCAGCAGGAACGGCATCAAGAGCAGGGTACAGTGTCAGTTCTGGTGTGAGGCTTGGATCAGGGGCTGATATCACAGATCGTTACCGGTTTTCACAGAGACTAATTGGTGCAGAGAGGCGTGTGAGTAAGTTGGATGAGGAAGGTTTTTCACTTGGTGGAGGTGGTGGTGGTGGTGGTGGTGGTGGTGGTGGTGGTGGTGGTGGTGGTGGTGGTGGTGGTGGTGGTGGTGGTGGTGGTGGTGGTGGTGGTGGTGGTGGTGGTGGTGGTGGTGGTGGTGGTGGTGGTGGTGGAGGAGGAGGAGGAGGAGGAGGAGGAGGAGGAGGAGGAGGAGGAGGAGGAGGAGGAGGAGGAGGAGGAGGAGGAGGAGGAAGAGAGGGAGTACGAGCAGGAAAGCTGCAGTCTCTTCATTCTGCTGCAGTAGCAAGCAAACACGTGTCTGTTCCGGGATTCAAGCCTTCTGGTCTGGCCGGACCTTCACCTGGTCTGGCCAGACATCCACCTGGCCTGGCCGGACCTTCGTCTCAGGCATGGTTGCAGCAAACCCCCAGTGCAAGCTTGGCAACCTACCTCGGCACCGAGCCATCAGAGAACTCTGTGCAAGGAGTTTCGGAAGGATTTTTGGAAAAAGGCCATAGAGTAGCCTCTTTCAGCAGTGTGTTTTTACAGGGAAATGTGGCGGACCAAGCCGCTTCTGGGGAGAAGTTTCGGGAGGAGGAAGGGGTAGAGGCTGAGTTGGAGCAGCTTCAGAGGGAGTGGAGGATTCAGCTGACTGAAAGGAGAAGGATAATGCATTGGCAAGGAGAGAGTAATGAGCGGAGGGAGGATGGTGGGGGGAATAAGGTGGACTTGCACGGAAACCAACATCTGAATGATCGAGGAGAAGAGGTGGGGAAAGGGACAAGGAAGAGGTGGGAGTGACAAAGAATGTATCTAATAAGGAGATTTTAGAGAATATAAAATGACAAGAAGTTGATAATCAAGCAAGCATAATATGATTCCAGTACTTCAATCATAAGTTATTCCACATAGTATTCTGTCTACTATATTATGATTATATATACAGCAATAGTTGATATAATATCTGGTGAGAGCTGTGTTTTGATATCTTGAAGTTCAACCTGTTTTGGCTACATTTGCAAGACCGTTCTGGATCACTTCCTAACGAGTCTTCAGGGAAGCATCCAAGTCGGGTTTAGGGTTTAGGGTTTAATAGTTGATATAATATCTGGTGAGAGCTGTGTTTTGATATCTTGAAGTTCAACCTGTTTTGGCTACATTTGCAAGACCGTTCTGGATCACTTCCTAACGAGTCTTCACGGAAGCATCCAAGTAGGGTTTTCAGTCACTGGGAATGTCGCCAAAGCAGATTTTCCAACGTGAAAAAAGCTTTTTGTTTCTACTTCCACTCACCGCGGCTCGATAGACTTACTAGGACGGATGCTGGAGTTCCTAACTTCCACGAATCGGCTCCAGGTTACATACCACATCTTCGAACTATATTCAGTAACTCCCTAATTTTAACTATATTCAGTAACTCCCACATCTTTTTGGGTGATATAATATTATCCAGCCTGTGTGTTCAATTTTTTCATCGAGCGCCGCGTGAAACCCGGGCAGAATGGAACTCGCGCACGCGCTGGACGAGGCGGGGATTCTCGACGGCCTATTGGAAGCCGCCACTTCAGCAAAGCCACACGTCAGAAATCAGGCGCTTCGTGCGTTGAGCCGTTTCTCCCACTCAGAATATGTCAGTTCACCAACCCTCCTTCCGAATCCCTCATCTCTTCATCCCCCTCCCCGTCCTCCGATTTTCTGTGCGGCTGATTCTTCTTCTGATCTTGCCAGTTCTTGCTGCTACGCAAGAGCATCCTGCCTCTGCCGCACGCCTCTGAAGCATCCCTTTCGAATCGACCCAAAAGTCAATTCAAGTCGACTAAAAGAACTTGGCTGTCGTTTCTGCTACGCGAGAGCATTTTCTCTCTGCTCGCCCGCTGGCTCTCACATTCCCTTTCTCACGCTTATATCTCTGAGTTCCCCACAAACATTTAGTTCCTATTGATGATAATGGGCGTTCTGCTTCTGCGCAACGAATTCGTGAAAGCACGTGCACGTGCATTTTCTACCCTCTCCCCTATCCCCTCTCCCCGATCCCCTCTCCCCTCTCCCCTCTCCCATCCCCATCTCCCCTCTCCCCTCTTTCCTCTCCTCTCTCCCCTCTCCCCTCGCCCCTCGCCCCTCTCTCCTCTCCCCTCTCCCATCTCCCCTCTCCCCTCTCCCTCTCCCCTCTCCCTCTCCCCTCTCCTCTCTCCCCACTCCCACCTCCCCTATCCCCTCTCCCCTCTCCCCTCTCCCCTCTCCCATCTCTCCTCTCCCCTCTCCCCTTGCCTTACCTTCTCTATTTTCCCCTGCTAATAAGCAAGGGAATTCTGCCTCAGTGCGACGAATTCGTGCAAGGGTTGTGCATTTCGCCGCCCATTATCCTCCCCCCTCTCCCCTCTCCCCTCTCTCCTCCCCCCTCTCCCCTCTCCCCTCTCTCCTCTCCCCCTCTCCCCTCTCTCCTCTCCCCTCTCCCCTCTTCCGTCTCCCCCCACCCTCTCTGCTTTCACCCAGAGACACTCATGTCAATGCTAATGAGCAAGTTCTACTGCCAATTGTGCTGCCGATTGTGCTGAAAGCACGTTCACGTGCATTCTCTAGCCTCCCCTCTTCCCTCACCCTCTCTGCTCCCCCCACAGACACTCAAGTCCCTGCTAATGAGCAAGGGCATTCTGCCTGTGCTCGCACGCTCGCTCTCCCACCTGCCCCCCGTGCCCTCTCCCCTCGCCCCTTTCCCCTCTCTCCTCCCCCCACAGACACTCAAGTCCCTGCTGATCAGCAAGGGCATTCTGCCTTTGCTCGCACGCTTGCTCTCCCACCTGCCCCCTATGCCCCCATCTCCTGTCTCTCATAGTGCTGACGCCTGGACTGGCCCTGCTTCTGCTGCTGCGGCTGATTGTGCTGCTCATAGTGCTTACGCTGGGACAGGCCCAGCTGCTGGTTATGCTGACGCTGGGATCGGCCCTGCTGCTACGTCTGCAGCTGATTGTGCCGCTCTTCATAGTGCTGACGTTGGGACTGGTCCTGGGTCTGGCCGTGCTGTTCCTGCAGCTGATTGTGCTGCTCATAGTGCCGACGCCGGGACAGCCCCTGCTTCCGGCCGTGCTGGTTCTGCTGCTGATTGCTCTAACTCTAGGGCTGATCCCGCTGTTGACCCTGAAGGTGCTGGGGAGGGGCAAGGAGCTAGGATGGAGGAGCAAACGGGGGCGACGGAAGAGCAGCAGGAGCAGCGGGAGCAGGGGGTTGGGTTGAGAGAAGGGGGTTGTGGCTGTAGGGCGTGCAAGCAGCAGTCGCTGCATGCCACTGTAGCCAGCTGCCTGTGGGGTCTGGCGTGTGCCCACCCAGGGAACAAACGCAAGGTGGGTGGAGAGCGGTGCGATTGGGTTGAGATGGACTTAGATGGCGGTGCTGGTAGTGCAAGCAGCAGTCGCTGCATGCCATTGTAGTGAGCTGTCTGTGGGGTCTGGCGTGTGGCTACCCAGGGAACAAACGCAAGGTGGGTTGAGAGTGGTGCAATGGGGTGCGTTTCGGTTGAGACGGCATGAGACAGGTTAAGATGGGTGGCGAGGGGTTGGGATGTGATGTATTTGGGTTGGGACGGTGTGAGTCAGGTTAAGATGTGTTCGACACAGTGATCTTGATAGTACAAGCAGCAGTCGCTGCATGCCACTGTAGTGAGCTGTCTGTGAGGGCTGGCGTGTGCCCACCCAGGGAACAAACGCAAGGTGGGTGGATAGTGGTGCAATCGGGTGTGATTGGGTTAAGATGGTGCGAGACAGGCTAAGATGGTTTGAGATGGTGGTGTTGGTAGTGCAAGCAAGCAGCAGTCACTGCATGTCAATGTAGTGAGCTTCCTGTGGTGTTTGGCGTGTGCTCATGATGTGACTGTCGTGCGATGTGACTGTGGTATGGTGTGACTGTGGGTGATGTGACTGTGGGTGAAGTGACTGTGGGCGATGTGACTGTGGGTGTTGTGACTGGGGGTGATATGACACGTTATCTATGCAGAGCAGCTTGGGGAGGAAGGCGCACTGGACCTGCTCGCTCGGATCCTGCAGCACCACTGCCGCCACCATTGGCACCACACTGTTCGCTGCAGTCACCACTTGAACCGCACCCACTGCTGCAACCACCACCATGCGCCTGGGCGAGAGTGTCGTGCTGTGAAAGGGAAACACGTCAGCACCAGGAAAGACGATACGAGACGGGAAGCCTCAAGGCGGGAATATTTGAGCCGGGAAGGCGATGTGTTGGCGCTGAAACACTCCTGCCTCGCTGTGTGGAGCATCTGCTACTCTGTAAGAGCGTTTTTAGAAAATACTCTTTTCCATCACTCCATTCAGTCAGTTTCAAGCAACTAGAGGTCTCCTCGTCTGTTATTCTCGCTCACTTTCTCCTTGCACACTCTCTCGCGCTCTCAAGTTGATTCGAACTGCCTACGTGCTGAGACGGCAGGCCTGCTGCCATTGCTGCTCGCCCTGCTTAGCCATCACCATCAGCCCTCACCATCAGCCGCTCACTCATCTCCTTGCACTCTCCCTCTCTCAGGTTGATTCGAACTGCCTACGTGCTGAGTCAGCAGGCCTGCTGCCATTGCTGCTAGCCCTGCTTAGCCATCACCATCGGCCCTCGGTGCAGGTACTCTCACAGTTTCACTCCCTTTGTTGCGCTGCTGAGTCAGCAGGCCTGCTGCCATTGCCTCTCGCGCTGCTTTGTCACCATCAGCCCTCGATGCAGGTACTCTCACACTCTCACCGTCCGACTTTTGATGCGCCTCAAAAGTACTCTCACTTTCGCGGTCCGCCTGCTCTTTCCCCCATTCTTCCCTTCCCGCCTCTCGTTTCTTCTCCCCAAGCCTCCCACACCCCCGCCCCCCAACCCCTGCTCAATTTTGTTGGATTGTACTTTTGTTTTATCACATATTTTCCACAGCACCGCATCTCTATTTGTCCTCCCTCCCTCTCTCCCCTTTTCCCTGTCCCCTTTTACTCTGTCATTCTTATATCTGCTCCCGAGTACTGTGTCTCCCCATTCTCTCTCCCCACTTTCTTTCTCCCCCCCATTCTCTCTCCCTCCGTTTTCTCTCCTCCCACTCTCTGTCCTCCCTTTTTCCCCCACACACACAGTATGCAGCAGCGGGGGCGCTATGGCACATTTCAGCCAATCAGAGCCTAGGTCTCACTCTCATCGTGCGCTACAGATGCCTACTGCCCCTCCTGAGCCTGCTTGATCAGTCGCTGCCCCAGTCAACGCTGGTCAACTGTACTGGGTGCCAGTCAACGCATGCTGACTGTAGGCAGGGCCAGTCAACGCAGGTCAACTGCAGTCAGTGCCAGGCAGCGTTCACTCAGTGTCAGTCAACGCCGGTCAACTGTAGGCAGTGCCAGCCAATGCAGAATAACTGCAGTGAGTGTGCGTTGCTGCAGCAGAATGAAATTTTGCAACAAGTGGGGGAGAGGGGAGAGCATGGGATGGTGGAAGGAGGGAGAGGGGTTAATAGGTGTCAAGAGAGGCGAGATGGGGAAGGAGGTGAAGGGAAAGGAAGGGGAGGAGTGGAAGGAGGAGAGGAAGGGGAAATTGGTTTTAGAGTGCAAGGTGGGGAAGGAGGGGGAGAAGAAGGAGAGGTAGAGGAGATGGGGAGGAGTAGGGAGCAAGGAATGGGAGAAGGACTGGGTACAAGTGAAAGGGACTATTCTAGAAGGGAAGAAGAGAAAGAGGAGGAAATGGAAGGGATGGAGGAGGAAGAAGCAGAGGAGGAGGAAGAAGAGGAAGACGATGAAGACGAGGAAGAGGAAGTGGAGGAGGAAGAGGAGGGGAAGCGAGAAGAGGCTCGGCTGTATGCGTGCCTAACCCTCGCTAATCTCTGCCTGCTTCTGGAAGGTTCTCAGGTCATGCAGGATAGCGATGAACATCCCTTGGCCAACTCTTGTCATTCCAATGCGACACATGGGACTGATGCGACGGATGCAACACTTTTTTCTGTGGGAAAGAGTGTTGAAACTTCTCAAAATGTGGGCAAGCAAGAGAGGGCCTCCTCTTCTTCTTCCCTCACACGAGCACAGCAACACCTCCTCTCCTCCCCCACACTCCCCTCCATCTCCTCCTTCCTCCTCGCCTCTCACCCCTCCTCCCTCCCCCTCCACCTCATCTGGACCACCGTCTCTCCGATCGTACGGCTGCTGCGCTGCCACGTGGCGCCGATCCGAGGGCTGGGAGCGCTGCTGGCTGCTGCAGTGTGCAAGAGCAGGGGGGGCAAGGAGGAGCACGGAGCTATGTTCTTCTTAGAAGGGGCTGTGGGGATTCTGATGGAAATGGCGGCTTTTGAGGCGCACCAGAAGAGGGAGGAGGATGGAGCAATGGCCGAGCACGGCACTATGGGCATATCAGAGGGGGCTGTGGGGGTAATGGTGGGAATAGCAGAGGAGGTTGAGCCTGGTAGGGTGGAGAGAGAGAAGCAGGAGGAGGAGCAGAGGGAGGAGCAGAAGAGAACCCAGTGGGAAAAGAAGAGGGGGAAGAAGAGGCAGGAGGAGAGGGAAGAGCAGGAGGATCGAGTGCGGGTGAAAGCAGCGGAGTTTGCTCGCCTTGCCCTGGGTTACCTTGATGTACCGCTGACCAAGCTGCTCACTGTGCCTACCACAGGCACACCATCAGCCATGACTGGGGGCGGTGAGGGGCGTGGGGGGGGCGGTGAGGGGCGTGGGGGGGGCGGTGAGGGGCGTGGGGGGGGCGGTGAGGGGCGTGGCGGGGCCGGTGAGGGGCGTGGCGGGGCCGGTGAGGGCCTTGCCCTGGGCTACATTGATGAGTCGGTGAATAGGCTGCCCACTGTCCCTGGCACAGGCCACCCCTCAGGCATGCCCTGCCGCGAAGTTCCTTGTGGGGCTGGTGAGGGGAGTGGTGGGACCGGGGACAGGACCAGCGTTCCCGGTTTCAGTGAGGGCAGCAGCCAGAGTCTGCCATGTGAGGAGAGGAGCAGCAGTGGCAGCAGCGGTAGCAGCAGCAGCAACAAGAGCAGCAATAGCAGCAGGGGTGGGGCAAGCAAGGCTGCAGGTAACACATCTTGTGTCATCTGCTGTGAGGAGGCGGACTGCCCCCCTATTGACCCGTGCGGCCATGCTGTTGCCTGCCCCTCCTGCCTCCTCTGCCTCCTCTCCCGGAAGCAGCCCTGCCCCATCTGCCGCTCTGCCATTGGTTGAATAGTTCCGTCTGCCAACAGCAGTGGCGGCGGCGACAGCAGCAGCAATTGCAGATGGGGTGGGGTTTAGGGTTTAGAAGTTACGGTTTAGGGTTGCCATGCTGTTGCCTGCTCCTCCTGCCTCCTCTGCCTCGTCACCCGGAGACACCCCTGTCCCATCTGCCGCTCTGCCATTGGTTGACTGATCTTCGAAATGTTGCTGCTGTGGTAGGTAGGTGCGTGCTGCGGTTGGTTCCAGGTTCCGTCTTGACAGCATCCGCAGCAGCTAACCCCAGCAGCATATAACAGCCCTGCCCCACCCCACGCCAAGCCCTTCTCAGTCACCCATCTGCATGAACCAATCTTGTCCTGTTTCTAAGATTGGCCGGCATGGGTTGACTCTACTAGCTGCAACACCACCTCAAGGTACTCTTATCGGATTGTGTTGTGTTAGTGAGTTGTACGCAGGGCCCACGTTATCCGAGTAAATCACTCTGTTTCTCTGAAAATCAGAGTTGTTTTTTAGAGGGACTCTGTACCTGCTGGGTTATGATTTTGGGAGTTGTGTTTTCTCTGATGTATCAGAGTTGAGATATACCGTAGTGTCAGAATGAGGAATGGTGTTTCCATTGATGTTGGTTGGGGTACATATGGCAAACCCTAACTTCTGTACCCCCTAAGACAAACCTCACTACAGGCTACAACATTTGACACACCCCCATAGCCTAAGTGAGGGGTGTCTAGCAAAATCAAAAAGAGTACGGTCACAAGACCAGTCCAAAAGAAAACAAAGCTCAGGGTGGATCACAACGTCACCACACACTCTGAGCACAAGCAACAGTGGCCACAAGGCCAGTCCAAGAGATCACAAGTATATATAGCAAGTGTACAGACGAAGCAGGCAATAAACTCAAGTCTACACATGACTAGAACCTGTGTCAACAAGGCCTAACTGCACACAACACCTCTGGTGGTCACAAGGCGGAAGCGCCTTGGTGAAGATGTCTGCAGTGTTGGCCTCGGACTCCACGAACTCGAAGCGAGCCTGTCCACGTCTCTGCAACTCTCGCAGAAGAAAGTACCTGACGTGAATGTGCTTCACTCTGCTCTCCAGTCGCGGCTCACGACAGAGGAGGATCGACGCCTTGTTGTCAGTAAACAAGGTCGGTGCAGAGCTCGGCCGCTCACCAAGGTCGGCGAGCAAGAAGGTCAACCACCGCAACTCCTGTGCCGCCATGGCACCAGCGTAAATCTCAGCCTCAGCTGTAGAGGTCGAGACAGAAGAGGAGCGCGTGGAACGCCAGGAAACAGCTCCAGAACCCAGACTGAAACAGTACCCCTGAGTAGACCTGTGAGTCTCAGCGTCGTCAGCGTAAGAGGAGTCACAGTGACCAGTGAGTACGACAGACTGCTGCCCTCCAAGAACTAGCCCCACGCCTGATGTAGTCGCTAGGTACTTCGCCACCCTCACAGCTGCCGTCCAGTGAACAGGACGGTGTCTCCCTGGCGCAACAAAGCGCGCAAGGATGCTGAGAGGGAAGGCGAGGTCCGGGCGAGTACAAGTCATCAGGTACATGAGGCAACCCACAAGCTCTGCGTAGGGACCACTAGGCTCAAACGGCTCGTCAGGAAAGGGACCAGTGAGTCTGTGGTCAACAGCGAGAGGTGTGCGCTGTACGGTGGAGTGCTGAAGCCCGAACCGCTGAAGGACCTGCTGCACCATGTGTGACTGTGAGAGTGTAATGGTGCGAGCGGCTCTGTCCCTGGTGATCTGCAGGCCAAGGTAGTGGCGCAGCTCACCAAGATCAGTGCACGTGTGTCTCTTCTGCAGTTCGGACTTCACGTCTGCCAAAGCAACCCTGTCCGGAGTGGCGAAAACGAGGTCGTCGACGTAGACCAGAACAAAGAACGGTGTGGAGCCACGACGAACGAACAACGACGGGTCGGCAGAAGACGGCTGGAACCCAAGGTCAGAGAGGGTAGAACGCAGAGTGTCGTGCCACTCGCGAGGGGGCTGGCGAAGACCGTAAACAGGTCGCCTCAGCCTCCACTGGGTCCCAGGAGGGAAAGTGCCAGTGAAGGCCGAGGGACGACGTAACCAGACCTCCTCGTGTAGGCTGCCCTGAAGGAAAGCAGTGGAGAAGTCGAGAGAGTGTAACTCGTAGTCTCTCTGTGCTGCTACGTGTAGTAACACCCGAAGAGTGGTCATCTTCGGGGTAGGTGCGAAGGTCTGAAAGAAGTCAACTCCCTCGCGCTGACTGAAACCTCTAGCCACGTAGCGCGCCTTGAAGACCGGGGGAGATCCCGGTGGCCGCTTCACCCTGTAGATCCACATGCCGTCGACTACGTTCGCCCCAGGGGGGGGAACCTCATCGACGTAGGTGCCTGTGGATCTGTAGGAGGCCATCTCTGCGTCCATGGGAGCTCTCCACTGAGAGGCCCAAGGCCCTGACACTGCCTCAGCGTAAGTGCGAGGAGTCGGAATGTCAAGGGCGTCGGGGTCACCCTCAGGGGCGAGGAGCATGGCACAGAGATGAGGGGAAGCGGCCGCCAGGAACTCTAGCTCAAACTGCCTGTCCTCTAGGGCGTCACAGCCAAGGGCAGACACACCCCCGACGGCCAGAGGACTGGTAGGAGGAGCAGCCACAAGCGTGGTGGCGTATTCAAGGCGACGGGTAGAGGCAAAGTCAGTAACTGCGGCAGTAAGAGCAGACACAGAGGACACAGAGGCACGAGGGTGAGTAACAAGAGAGGCGAGAACACGAGAGACAACAGGACGGTACGTGCGGTAGTAGTCAGTGACGGGAGCAGGGAGCGACACGGTGAGGGCCGACTCAGGAGGAGACGGAAGCACAGACTGAGACAGACGAGGTGGACTAGAAAGAAGGAAGGCAGTACGAAGGTCAATGAAGGGAACAGGAGACGAGGGACGAGCACGAGGGGAGCGACGAGTAGCCCAAGAACGAGACGGAGGAGGAGAGGACAAAGGCGGAGAACTGGAGAAAACAGCGGGGGAGGAGTCAGGCGGAGGAAACGTGGGACCGTAGACAGGAGGAGAGGCGGAGGAGGGAGGAGAAGGGGAGGGGAGACCAAGGGCCCGAAGACCCGAGACAGGAGGAGGAAGTGGCTGCTGCTGCTGCTGCTGCTGCGACTGCTGCTGCTGCGGACGCGGCTGCTGCTGGGACTGCTGCTCCTGCGGGTCCAGCTGCTGCTGCTGCTCCGCCAGCCGCTGTAACTCCCTCTCCTCTCTCTCCAACTCCAGCTGCTCGTCACGCGCACGGCGAACACGAGCCTGGTGCCTAGTCGGGTAGGGGTGGGGGGGCGGAGTAGTGTCCGAAGCAGCGGCAGCTCCAGAGTCAACCCCCGAAGAACCAGGCGCACCACCCCCAGAGGCAGCACTAACACCAGCTCCAGACCCAGGCGCACCAGAACCCGAAGGAGGCGCACCCTCACCCCCAGAGGGAGCACCCCCAGAGTCCGCGCGGCCAGCACCGGCTCCCGGACGACAAGAGTCCTCTGCACCCACCGGGTCAGCTCCAACTCCAGAACCAGAAACTCCAGCTCCAACTCCAGCACCCCCAGAACCAGAAACTCCAGTGCCTACTCCAGCTCCACCTCCAGCTCCAACACCAGCTCCAACTCCAGCACCCCCAGAACCAGAAACCGGTACAGGAACAGGCGCAGCACCAACCTCTCGAGAGCTAGCACCAGCGGCACGCTGCGAGGAGGACTGTGGGGAGGGAGGCTGTACCGGAGGGGCTACCGAAGGAGGAGGGGTAGCCTGGGACACACCTGACGGGGCTGGGCCAGGGGGGGGAGGCTGTACCGGGGGAGCAGGAGGGGGAGCGGCAGTCAGGAAGAGGGGGGGAGGAGGAACCGGGAGACCTCGACTGGGGTACCTGACGTAGTACGGAGTGGACTCCTTGAAACGGACGTCACGGGAGTCAAAGAACCGGTGAGAGGGAGGGTGGTAAAAGGTGAAGTCAGAGGAGTCCTCAGGGAAACCAAGGAAGACACAGGGGACGGCACGAGGCGAGAGCTTGTCCGCGGAGGTGTCGCGGACAAGAGCCAAGCACCCCCAGACACGAAACCGCGACGCAACACCAGGGGACCCTGTCCAAAGACTGGTCGGTGAAACCTCTGGTCGAGAGACACGTGGCCAGAGGTTCAGCTGGTGCGCGGCGTACCTGACCGCGTAGGGCCACAGAAAATGGGGGGCACAGGCGTGAGTCAGGGAGGTGCGGGCGATCTCCATGACCAGGCCTATGCGGCGCTCAGCAACCCCATTCTGCTGTGGGGACTCTGGAAGCGTCCAGGACTGACGAATGCCCTGCTCGCGACAGAATCCAGCGAGAATGCCGGAGCGAAACTCACCCCCACGGTCGGAGTGGAGACAGCTGACACGACGACCACGAGTGTCCTCGGTGGTGAGCAACCACCTGATCAGCGTAGAAGTCACCTCAGACTTCTTCGCCAGTGGGAACACTGTGGTGTAGCGGGAGAAGTCGTCAACGACCACCAAAAAGTAACGCTCACGCTCAGGGCCTAGACGAGGGGCGGGGCCCCAGATGTCCAAGTGAAGCGTCTCAAAAGGCTCGGTGGCCGGACGAAGGGAGGAGGAGTGAGGGGTGGCGCGCAGCCTACCCTCGACGCAGGGACGACACGGCGGCGCAAGCAAAGGCGGCAGCGACGGCAAGACACGTGGGAGGCCTAGGACAAGACGCTGACTAGACATAGCGCGCAGACGAGGAAGGGACGGGTGCCCCATCCGGTGGTGCCACAGAACGGTGGGGTGGGCAAGCGACCGGCAGGAGCACGACGCAGCGACTGGAACAGACGTAGGAACCTGACACGACACAGACACCTGGGGGGACGAAGCAACCTGGTGAGACGCGGGGACCCGAACGGGGGGGGGAACCGGGGGCAGTGGCAGTAGGTGGGGCTGCTGGTGCGGCCGCTGGTGCTGCTGCTGCTGCTGCGGCTGCGGCTGCTGCTGCTGCTGCGGCTGCGGCTGCTGCTGCT